CCACGTGCATAGTACGGCTGAAATTTGACGCCAAGCTGCCTGTTTCTCATATTTTGATGGTTTTTTTTGTCCTTTTCACGCACGGTCTAATTCTCGATGATTTGCACCTTTATATGTCGTGCATGCCGTTTTAGATCGAATATCCCAAAATTTATTGCCTTACTTTCAGTAAGAAAAGCAGATGGGCAATTTTGCAAAATTCTGAAGTAAGTCTGCTAATCAAGTGTTGTGCAGCTGCAGCAGGCAATCAGTAAACTGAAGGAGACACCAACCTGCTAAAAGCAATACTAATCGACTTAGAAAAAGCTTCTTAAAAGAAGGTTAGTGTAAAAAACTAATTTGATGTCAGTGAGAAGTCAGTTGAAACTTGTACTGCCTAAGGGGTACTCTACTCTTTTTACATAGGACAATACTGAAGAAAGCAGACTCACTTCAAAATCCTGCGAGATTGCCCATCTATCTTTTTTACCTGCAAGTAAAAGTGATGAGCTTGGGATATTCGATTTAGAACGGCATGCATGACATATGAAGGGAACAAATCACCGAAAATTAGACCATGCCTATCGCTAAGAACGAAAAAAGCATCGAAACGTGAGAACAGGCACTTTGGCTTCAAATTTTGGCCATATTCTGCACTCGAGTACAAAACTACTAGTAGTTACTAGTAGTAAAGTACTTTCTAGAAAGTGCTGAATTTTTTAGTTGTAAAGGGATAATAAACGTTCCAGAATTGGCTACTTCGAAAAAGGCGCTCGTACAGCTGAGATGACTCAACGCAGGCAACTTTACGCAAAACTAAAGATTGCCGTGACGTCTGTTAACAGCACGAAACGACTACTCTGAGGGCTTCAAGCAATTTTCGCGTCTGAAAATCCTGTAAGCTGGAAACAGATCTGCTTTCATCCTCCTGTAGAAAATGCTTTTGATTGACCCACAAACCCCTTATACGATTCTAAATTCCGCGGACTATCTGGGCCAGGAAAAGTTCGGTGACAGAACATTCACGTGAATGCCTTCTGCACATCCTCAATTCTTATAATGTCTCGACAAGGCTCCGTACAAAACTACTTATTCAACTGTCAAGAACAAACATCTCGAGTCTGATAAAGAGAATTACGCGAACTTATCACATCCCGAAAAGCAGGGCTCCAAAACCACTGATATCGGCTATTCAAGATAATTTTCAGATAATATAGTTTTGCAGATACGCAAAAGAGGAAGAGCCACAGCTAACGGGTACCTTAGTTTTAATAGTCGACCTCTCAAATGCGCTATCTAAATTGCTAGTGATGGTGCATCTACTCACATGAGACTATAGAGAGGGAATAACTTGTAAAGACAAGATTTCGTAATTATTTCTCAAAGAACCTGTTTGCGATCTGGGAAGGGATATGTTGTCGTCCGTACTTACACCACTACGTGCACAGTACGGCTAAAATTTAACGCCAAGCTGCCTGTTTCTCATATCTGATGTCTTTTTGTCCTTTCACGTACGGTCTAATTTTCGAAGATTTGCACCTTTATACGTCGTGCATGCCGTTTTAGATTGAGTATCCCAAAATTTATCGCCTTTACTTTCAGTGAGAAAAGCAGATAGACAGTTTTGCAAAATTTTGAAGTAAGTCTGCTAATCAAATGTTGTGCAACTGCAGTAGGCCAGTAAACTGAAGGAGACACCAAAATCCGGTTAAAAAAATCGTAATCGACTTGTGAAAAAGCTTCTCAAAAAAAGGTTGGTGTAGAAAACCATTTTTGATATCAATGAAAAGTAAGTTAAAGCTTGTACTGCCTAAGAGATACTCTACTCTTCCTACATAGGACAACACTGAAGAAAGCAGACTTACTTCAAAATCCTGCAAGATTGCCCATCTGTCTCTTTTACCTTCAAGTAAAAGTGATGAATTCTGGATATTCGATTTAAAACGGCTGCACGACGTATAAAGGTAACAAATCATCGGAAATTAAACGATGCGTAAAGCTGAGAACGAAAATAGCTTCAAAATATGAAAACAGGCCTTTGTCAAATTTTAGCCATACTGTGCACTCGTAAGTACGGCACGGTGCGACCACATCGCCTTCATCTGGGATTTCAAATTTGTGTGTAGTAACACACATCGCACCGAGGTGACTAGACGGATACCATCTTTGGGGAGGTAGCGGTGGATCTGATGGAAGAGAAGGGGAGTAACAATTTTGTAAATCAAGTTTTCTAATTTGAAATATGGTTTTGTGAGCAGGAAAAGCAGTCAAACATTATACGCGAACACGGGCAAACTTTGTCTAGGGACTTCACCTCTCCTCGAAGACTAGATTCTAATGTTGGAAGACGACGTCAATAGCATTGGCTAAATCGGTATAGAAAAGCGTAATACATTTTTTAGATTTACACGTATCATGAGATACCTTCATACATTCACGGGATCATGTTTGCTAGTTGAATTTTCTCACTATCTCAGATAATCGCCGGGAGCAGGCGGTTATCTGAGAAGGTAGTGCCTCCCGCTGAAGGTTTGGCCACGCCCCAAAATCCTGCCGACCGCCTGCAGAAAAGCGCAAGTTTGCGGACCGCTTGCCCCGGCGATTATCTGAGATGTTGCTTTGTAGATGACGCAACTGAATATATTATTGAAGCCTCACTTCAATTTCTTGTCAAAAAATTTTAAATAGTACAATATTTTCAAAAACGAAGATGAGCTGGGACATTAGTCGTATATGGGCCATGAGTCATTCAATGTCTTTCCTATGTAAAGACTTTAATCAAATGAGAGTTTCTTTACCTACTGAAAACTAATTAATTCCACGATTTTCTAAATGTAGGTTTTTTTAAAACAAGTTGCTCGTCGAAATATAAGGACTATGCTTCATCTCGCACACTCTTTCGTAGATTCTGCAAGCAAGCCCAGAAATCATGGGCGGCTTAAAAAAGGGTTGGATAAGAAGATGGCGCCGACAAGCTTCATCCTTCTGCCACAGCTGATACGCTGCAGCTACATACAGTGCTGGACATAATTATAGAGACACTCTAGAAATTGTCGTAATTTTCGTTCTTGTCAGTGAATTTGTCTGAAACTTTGCTGTATGCTGCGCATGTAAGCCTACCTCCTAACTCCTCAGAACGGCTTCCAATCCCGCTGATTTCGAACGGAGAAAAATGGAAAAATTCGAAAAAGCCTGTTTTGCAAGCTGGACATAATTATAAAGACACCTGGCCTTTTTAAACATTATCGCATTCCTTGACTCCCAAATTTATTTGTAGGATTACATTCCACAATATGAAACTTTTGCAGCACCTAGGACCTGTCATGCTACTCAAGGAAAGATGATCCTTGCATTTTTCGTTTCCAAAGGCATCAGAAGTCAAACTGCTTCAATAAACAACTGGTTTGAAGAGTTTTCAAGCCCTTGTTCATTTCAAATGATAATCATGGAGTCTACTGATCCTTCTGGATAGATGAGGTGAAGAGCGCTTTCGTTAACTCTGCGTAATCGCTGATTTTGACAGACAGACTCCAACCTCACCATAAGGTTGCCGCGCTTTTGCACCACAAAACTCGATTTTCATGTTACAGAAAACGCTGCAATGTAGCCGCAACAATACACGTACAACAATAAACTTGTGTTCCTAGTCAGGAAAAAATTTCGGGGTTGCACATTCTGGTTCAGCCGCAGTTGTCATCCGTTGAGAGTTGAGTCGAGCACCCTGCACAATCATATCCAACTCAAATCAAGAAATCGAACAGGAGATTGCTTGAGACTTCAAAATCTTGCTAATCTCAGCTACCGCGCAAAATGCGACATGAAACAGAGAATAAAATAGTGAGATTTGTGATTATGTTGAATCTACTGCTCGCATAGAATTTTCGTTGAAAGTATATCAGATCTGAATGGCAACTGCAGCACTAGAAAAAATCTAAAAGTTGTTGCAAAAGATGCATCTCCACGTAGACAATGTAGTAAATCGAGTCCATCACTTCACGAGCATTGGAAAGTGAGTTTTGTGGTGCAAAAGCGCGACAACCCTATAGTGAGGTTGGAGTCTGTCCGTCAAAATCAGCGATTAGGCAGAGTTTACAAAAGCGCTCTTCACCTCATCTATCCAGAAGGATCAGTAGACTCCATGATTGTCATTTGAAATGAACAAGGGCTTGAAAACTCTTCAAACCAGCTGTTTATTGACAGTTTGACTTCTGATGCCTTTGGAAACGAAAAATGCAAGGGTCATCTTTCCTTGAGCACCATTACAGGTCCTAGGTGCTGCAAAAGTTTCATGTTCTGAGATGTAACTCTACAAAAAAATTTGAGAGTCAAGGAATGCGATAATGTTTGAAAAGGCCAGGTGTCTTTATAATTATGTCCAGCTTGCAAAACAGGCTTTTCGAATTTTTCCAATTTTCTCCGTTCGAAATCAACGGGATTGGAAGCCGTTCTGAGGATTTATGGTAGCCATATAGCAAAGTTTCAGACAGATTCACTGACAAGAACGAAAATTACGACGATTTCTAGAGTGTCTTTAAAATTATGTCCAGCACTGTATTATTTGTAGAGACTAGACCGCTGCAGATGACCGCTAAGTCTCTTTCCTCTTTATCTATGCATAAAAGAAGCAGAGTTGATGGAGATTCATCAGTCATGTTATGAAAATACAAACATGAATAAAGTTGAGTAATGTATTAGTAGTTTGTGCCTTCAGATTCTGTGGTGGAGATTTTATTGACCTTACGTTTCGACAATGTCGTCGTCATCAGAGGTCTGAAAACGGATTGTAGGCTCTTTGACTTGCTCACCATACTTTCAAGCGCCTCCTCCCACTCTGTCAGTCTAGACCTAGTGTAAGACTCGCAGCATGAAACCCTCAAAATCTCCGCCACAGAATCTGAAGGCACAAACTACTAATACATTACTCTACTGACATCTTAACATGCCCAGATTCAAAGACAAAAGAGCATTTAACTTAATGAATAAAGTTCTTCAATACATTTGTATCGATAAGGTGATATGGATCATCTAGGCTTTTCGTTTGTGACTTTAGCTTTCTGTGATCCGCATACTTTTCTACTATTTTGTTCTCCTGCTTGCAATGTTTCTGCAATCACCTCATCTTCCCACACATTGCATTCTAGCACGGCGATAATACTGTTATGTGACTCGATAAAAACACCTGAATGCGTAAGTTCCCCACTTATTATAGCAGATAATTATATAAAATGATAGAAATGTCAGCTTACCTGCAATTGTATTTCCTTTGACGAGTTTTTTTTTACTGCGTCTTTGTTCACCAATCAACCAGACCGAATATACTAATCCTACTTTTACCTTGGGCTCTCCCTTAATATGTTGTGCATTGGTCAAGCATCTACAACTGTCTGAAACATTTTATCATTTACCGTGTAAACTTTGGCGAATGTCACCAAGTAGGCAGTCACTGGCAGATTCAGAATATCAGCTCGCCCATCCTCTTCAACCGTTTCCAGAGTACCAACTGAAATGTTAGCATCTAAATCGAATGGATCATACTCACATTTAGCCCATTGACAACGACCCGTTTTTAAACTTTTTTGGTATGAGTTTTAAAACCTGTTTTTTCGAGTATGCGGATGCTCGCAAGAAAGCGAGGCTTACTCGAAAAATCGATTCTTTTGTAGGGGTTTGAAGACGCAAATCTGAATAAATGTTTCGAAACGAGTCGGGGCCAACGACGTCATGTGTCAAAAGCTCGATGCATGAAATTCTCCATTTTTCATGCGTTTTTGTTCTTTGTTTTTTTATTCGTTAATCCTATTGCTAAAGACGGCAATAGATCTCTTGAATTATACGGAAGCCTAAACAAAGTTGTCAAAGGTCGTCAAGCTGTTGCATGTCTATCTTTATAATATGTCTTCATAACTCACTGAATATAGCTGGAGATGGACACCAAACTTTCCATAATTCCAGTTTAATACATTCCGTTTCTACTGCGAAATTTACGATGAATTCACGAATTTCCTCGCGTGAGTTAGCAGCTGAGTCAGAAGGATAGATACGTGCACCAGGTACGGTCGAGCAATTAATGGTATCTTTGAAATCGAACATTTTAGTCACGCCCTTCTTCCATGTTTTAAACTCGCATGCATCCATCGAAATAGTCCTACTGCTCAAATCTAGTCTTCCTAAATATGTCGCATTCTTGATTATTGGTCAGAGATTAGTAGAAATCACCTCCGACTAAGATACGGGTAGGAATTGTTAGAGCTGGGAAATCGTCGTGGACGCAACCGTTTGGCGAAAACATTTGGAGGGTGACGCTCGTCCTTATTAAATCCTTCCGCGTCGGAGGCTGGAACAGAAGTCCTTGCAATTTAGAGTGGAAAGCATTAATCTGACTTGTCCTACCTTATAAACCTCTGTGATGATTGCTGTGCTCGTTTCCCAACGAACTGAGTTGTGATAAACTACAGTTGACTCTGTCTTAACAAGCACCTCTGCGACTAAATGACAATAAATGAATTGCGCAATGCCAGTATAACGAAGTACTCCCCTATTTAATTCAGTACTGACTACCACGCATGACATGCTACCCATTGATTCGATTGGCTTGCCGACTGGAAGACATGGCTTTGTGACATAATCAAGGTTTGTGACATAATTAAGGCCCTCTGATGATCAGAGGGCCGCACGAAAGAGACGCAGACTGCGTCGCGGGCGCGATTGGCCTCAATTAGGTTACAAACCTGCCCTCCTGCCGTCAAGCCAGTTGAATCAAAGGTTATACATCTCTCAGCAAAAGATGTTGCTAGATAAAGACACTATACAATTTATGTACTATTAGCCCGTTGCAAGAAACGACCAAAACTTGTAGGTTATCAAAATTCTATCTCAAGTAATTACTGAAAGGAAATGTTTTTGGCGGTTGAAACACTGCCCACACTAATTATTCAACAGAAAACGCAAAAACTGACGCTGCGCGTTTTTTCGGTTGAAACACTACCTACACTAATCATTCGACAGAAAACCAAAAACTGACGCTGCACGTTTTTTCGTTTTTTTCTTCATAGCTTTCTTCAGACTGCATAAAATTCCGAGGAATGCATGATGTTCAGCTGGTCAAGTTGAATTTTTTGATATACTGCACTCTCTTACTAGTCCATTCTCAGTCTTCTCAATTTTTGTGTGAGGACGGGTTTTCGTAGTGGTGTAATTCAACGAAGCACACATGGAAGATTCTAGTAAACAGGTTCAACAGGTGCGGTAGAACTGTTCCCGTAGACGATCACGCGCTAGCTGGTAGCGAAGGACCCTGTTCCCGTAGAGAAAGATAGGCCGGTGAATTTTGAAAAAATCGTGTCTGTCAAATTTTAGCTACAGTAACCATACAGCAAGACGCTAATTTGCAAAGCTGGCGTGCTTTTCGTAATCATCAGGCTAGATAACCTTTATGCGCAAGTTTTATGTGATCTGATGTGATGTGATGTGTTTTATGTGATCATACGTGATCTTAAAATTTAGAACGTGTTCATGAGGACATGAGTTCGTAAGCTTACAGTTCGGCGAACAATTCAGGCAAGGGCCTAGCTTAATGCTCTAACAGCACTGTCTGCAGTGATTTCAAATTACAAAAAGGAGCAGGTAAGGTTGTTCTACTATACGCGAGAAAAACAGACAAATTTGAGAACTTGCGTAGTATCGCAGCATTTCTCTCAGCGTAACCCTGCTAAAAGAATTTACGTTGCAAAAGAGCACTGCTTTCGTAATCAGCGAGTCCGAAAATTTCTATAGGCGAATTTTCCGGTCAATCCAAGATCATCAATATTCTAGACAAAACCCGACGGAGAACTTCAGAGGCTAGAACGGGAAAAAATCAGAGGGCCCGAATTTCTTGAAAAACTTGCGCATAGAGGTTACCTAGCCTGATGATTACGAGAAGCCCGCTAGCTTTGCAAATTAGCGTTTTACTGTATGGTTACGGTAGCTAAAATTTGAGAGACACAATTTTTTTCAAATTTCACCTGCCTATCTTTCTCTACGGAAAGGGGGCAGGGCCCAGCACGAGGGACATTTGGGAATCTTGGAAACGAAGTCCCCTCTGACACCGCGGAAATTTACGAGTAACCTTCTCTGGTTCTGTAGAAGTACTGCTCATAATCTGCAGCAAACGATGAGTGGATAAAACTGGAAAAAAAGCAGAAAATTGGGGATAAAACAACAGAAGGCGAAAAAGAAAAGGTTTTTTTACATCGTTAAGTGCCGTAGAAAAACAGCGGGATTGAAACTTGGGTTAAAGCAAGTACCTGTAGATAGAGCTTGAACTGAAGAATAGATTTGTGCAAAAATTTTCAAAAAATTATGAGAGGAATTGGATAAATTATGACTTTGTTTGGTCTCGCGCAAACTAAAATAGAAAAGCACTTACGACTTCCTTCATTCATATAATTTTTCTTAATTTTTCATACTTATCTTTTCATCTTCTGGCGGAGCTACATACCAAATTTGTTGGCTCAATATTGCTTACAAGGAAACGATACTCGGTGTCCGTGGCTTTTTGAAATCAGTTGTATACCATTACATTCGTCTTGGAACGCTGATTCCGAATCTGACTTCCGTTTCTGCTAATCGCTTTAAAGATGTTACAATGGATCGTGTGGAGTTTGCCTGCTCAGTGAAATACGGTCTGAGCGCCGAAGCAACCCGTACGCCGTGGTCTAGTGGTTAGTGCGATAGCTTCATAAGTTCAGCAGTATGCAGATGCAGGTTCGAATCCCTTTGCGTTTTTCAGTTTTGCATTGTCTCAATTAACCTTCTTTCGCATCTTCGAGCTAATTGAACGCGGGTATATGTCAAGATGAACGATAGCTGGTACCAGTGGCGCGCGGGGTCATGAACTGGCAATAGCGTGTTGGCTCGAAGCTCCGCCCTTCTGCGGCGGACGAGTTTCTCGGGCGATACCGTCAGGTAAAAATAATTTTTGATAGAGAGATATGAGCTTGTTGCAAGCTGGGGTAAAGCTTGACTATATACAGAATCTTCAATGAACAGTTGATGTGTTGATTGAATTGCAAGAGATTTGCTGTTTTACTTATGAATGACCGAGTGACTCCTGGATATTCAACTTTGAAGTGTGAAATCAATCTAGAACACCCAGGCATGATTGTTTGAGTGACCTCACATCTTACGACTAGTTCACACGCAACTTCTATTGAGTTACAGATCGATTTATATTGAGGATAGAGGATAGGATAGGATATTGAGGATTACTATGCTAATTAACAAGAGGGCGGAGCGATCAGCGCACCGCGCACGGTACCCAGCTGGCGGCTGGCACATGCTATCGTTCATCTTGACCGCCACCCATTGAACGCCCTTAATCTTCAAAAAATTTGAAAACTTGGAAGAATTTATTGTCGTTTGCGCTAGATCCAATAATCGTAATTCGAGTAAATTTTCTTGAACAGACTTAATTGAGGCAATGAAAAGTAAAAACACAAAAGGATTTGAACCTACACCTGCATCAACTTATGAGGCTATCGCATTAGCCACCAGACAAGAACCTGGCAGCGGTAGAGGCCGTTCCGGACCATACCCCCTGGGCGACCAAACTTGGCTGGAAATTCCTCCATAACTTCTTTCAGAGAAATGATTAGCAGAAACGGAAGCCAGATTCGGAATCAGCGTTTGAAGATGAGTGTAATGATATACATCACGTCTCAAAAGGCCACGGACACTGAGCATCGTTCCCTTGTTAGTCATTGTAAGCAATTATTGTTTAGCTTTTTGTGCATAAAGGTCATGTTTCAACTCTTGAGAATCGTGTGAACACAAGATGATCAATTCTTGTTTGTAACATGTTGAATGACCTGTTAGTGGTTAAATGACTTTGAAGCCTCAAAACTGGGCTTAGTATGTGTAAGAATTGTGCATCCTGTCCTATCCAATCTGGAAATAACCTCTAAGAACTTTACGATTTCCCTTTTGATTCTACCCAAGGAAACGATATCCAGCTTATGAAAGCTTCACCTCCGCTGAGCCCTGAAAGGGGGTCATCCGCTATCAGCTAGCGCGTGATAGTCTACGGGAACAATTCCACCGAACCTGTTAAACCTGTTTACTAGAATTCTCCGTGTGCGTTCTTCGCTGAGTTACAGTTGCAGCGGTGGAATTTGTCCAAAACTGCGGGATTGTCGGGATTCGCGGGATTGTCGGGATTCGCGGGATTCGCGGGATTCGCGACTTCGCGGGATTTGCGGGATTCGCGGGATTTGCGGGATAAGCGGGATTTAGCTATAACTTCTTCTAAAATAGCTTTATTTGTAATCTGAGTGAAGATTTGGTTTCAGCTTGATGAGACGAATCTTTTGATACACGGTATGTCCGTAGTTCATAGTGACGGGGTAGACATACAATGATACCTTGTTGTTTTCTACGTTAAGGCTTTTATGAACATTTATCACAGTGTAAATCGCGTATAGGAGGTTCTGGTACGAAGCTCTCGTTATCGAAAACTATCGCGAAAAATTGGGCAGTTTTTATCTACCCTTATCGCTGATATAAGCATTTTATCATTTATCACTGATAATAACACATTTTCGGATCATTTTTTGCATATGGTAAGGAAAGTACTGTAGGAAAAGCTGTGTGAATTTCTATCGCTCTTTCTCTCATTATAAGTGATCTACAGGCTTTTCTAGTTCTATTGCTCGGTGCGATTGGTAGATCCCTCGCTGCAGCAATCGATCGATTTTTCATCGGCACATGCCATTGCTGCCAATTCTTACCTAGAATGGCATTTTTGCTTCAACTCGCTTCACGCCGAAGTCTGGGCTGAAATTCTGT